TGTCTGATCAGAAGGCTGTCGATCAACTACTAAGTAGCGTATGCCTCGGTGACAGGAAACCTTCACAACTTAAGCAACATATGCAAAGTCTGCTGAAGGATAGGAACGTAGACAACCGTTTATTCCCCCAGCTCTGGCTGCGGAGACTTCCTTCATGCATTCAGCAGATATTAGCTGTCGGAGATGCGGACACTGACATTGACAGGTTGGCTGACATCGCTGACCGTATGTACGAAAGGATGCCTAAACAGGTTGAAAGTATTGCTGAGCCAACGCAAAACGACCGAGTGCCTGCTTTAGAAAGGAAGACTGACATACTTACAGGACAACTGACGGCTTTGCAGTTAAACCGGCGGTCACCGAAGTTCTGTAGAAGCAGATCCAGTAGTCGTGATAAGACCACGAGTAGAATTGCCTCTAAAAGTAGCACTTGTTGGTATCACAAGAAGTTTGGCAGTAAAGCACGTCGTTGTTTGTTACCATGCGATTTTAAAACCTTTTCATCGGGAAACGGAAAGGCCGGCGATCAGTGACGACTGCTGTCGCCGGCGTACAACAACACAGTCGTTTGTTTCGAGTGACGGATAGGAAGACTGGAGCTCAGTTTCTGGTTGACACTGGAGGGGAAGTGAGCATGATCCCACCCACACCTTCCGAAAAACGCCATCCCAACCCAACCTTGGTACTACAAGCGGCAAATAGATCTGCTATTACTACATATGGGACCAGAATTTTGATCCTAGACATTGGCTTTCATACACCATTCCAGTGGGAATTCGTCATAGCTGACATATCGTCGCCTATCATTGGCATGGATTTCCTTCAACACTACGAACTATTGGTCGACTCTAGTCGCCATAGACTAGTCAGCCGTAATGGTGAATTTTCTATCACCGGTATCGTTACGGAGACAAAAACAATAAACTTAGTCGTAGCTCCAATAAACAACACTTCCGAGTACGATATCCTTCTGCGAGAATTTCCCGAGCTCACTCAAACGGATTACACGAAGTCCTCTCCAAAACACGGTGACGCACCATATTCTTACAAAAGGTCCTCCAGTCTCATCAAACCTCGACGCTTAGACCCTAAAAGCTGCAGATAGCAAAACAGGAATTTGATAAACTTCTAAAGTTGGGAGTTATACGCCCTTCCAAGAGCCCATGGTCATCACCCTGCATATGGTACCTAAAAAAGCATCAGGGGAAATACGGCCTTGCGGTGATTATCGAGCGTTGAATAAGCGTACGGTCCCTGATAAGTATCCAATTCCTCACATACATGATTTTATGAACTCTATGACAAAAGTAAATATTTTTTCCAAGATTGACCTCGTGCGAGCTTACTATCACATTCCTGTGGAACCCAATGATGTTCCTAAGACGGCCATCACTACCCCTTCGGACTATTCGAATTTATTCGTATGCCGTTTGGTTTGACAAATGCTGCTCAAACATTCCAAAGATTTATAGATCAGGTACTCCATGGCTTACCTTTCGTCAGTGCATACATAGATGACTTAATAGTAGCTAGCGCATCTGAAACAGAGCACCTGCAACATCTGAGGACGCTTTTCGAACGACTGCGTGAATATGGCATTACAATCAATCCGCAGAAATGCGAATTTGGCAAGGAATCCCTACAGTTTTTGGGTCACATTGTTAATGCCAACGGTGTTAAACCGGTTCCGCAAGAAGTAGATGCAATTCGAGAATATCCTGTTCCAGACTCGTTTCGAAAGCTGCGAAGATTTCTGGGGTTAATAAACTTCTATCGACGTTTCATACCTAAATGTGCTGAAGTAGCCCAACCGCTGACAGATTTATTGCAAGGACGAGCCAAAGTGTTTCACATGACCCAAGCGGCCCATGATGCTTTTGACAAACTGAAGCTGGCTCTAAGTTCTGAAACTCTTCTCTCTCGTCGTGATTCAGAAGCACCACTAGCCATCATGACAGACGCTTCAAATGTTGCGGTAGGCGCAGTACTACAACAGTTTGTTCACGGTCAGTGGGAACCATTATCTTTCTTCTCGAAACGACTTAATGCTTCTCAATCGCGATACAGTACATTCGGCAGAGAGCTACTGGCGATTTACTTGGCTATCAAGCACTTCAGATATATGCTCGAAGGGTACTCATTTATAGTATTCACCGACCATAAGCCACTCACAAAAGCAATTGATGCAAAGCATGACAACTACTCGCCCGAGAAATTCGACATTTAGAATTTATTTCACAATTCACTTCAGATATAAGGTATATCAAAGGCAGCAAAAATGAGGCAGCTGATGCTTTGTCTCGTATGTACGTAAACGTCTTAGAACGTGACCGTATTGACCTAGCAGAAATGGCAATGAGGACTTGAAACATTTGAAAAACAATGTGAACACCTCATTACGTCTTGAAGAAGTGACACTTGATGACTCTGTATCCATCACCTGTGATGTATCCAAGGGTAAACCGCGCCCGTTTGTGCCGTTATCAATGAGACGATTAGTCTTCTCTAAGATGCATGGCATTTCACATCCTGGTATTCGAGCTACGGTGAAGTTAATTACTGACCGATACGTCTGGCCAAAGATGAATCGAGATCTTCGACAGTGGTCCAGAGCTTGTTTAGCGTGCCAGCGATCGAAAGTGCAAAGACATATTCTTTCACCTACGGGAAGATTTTCCCACCGGATGGCAGATTTGACCATATACACGTTGACATCGTTGGACCACTACCTCCGTCAAATGGTTTTAGCTACATTTTAACATGTGTAGACCGATTCACGAGATGGCCAGTGGCAATACCTCTGCAGGATATATCTGCCGAAACAGTAGCGAGAAATATCATCCAACACTGGATTTCTAACTTTGGTGTCCCAAGTGTCATCACCACAGATAGAGGTGCGCAGTTCGAGAGTAGTCTATTTCAACAGTTAACTGAACTTCTCGGGATCAAGCGCATAAGAACCACTGCGTACCATCCTGCATCCAATGGTATTGTCGAAAGGTTCCATCGACAACTAAAAGCAGCACTGATGGCAGTAAAGACTGATGACAAGTGGAGTGACAAATTACCACTAGTACTCCTTGGTATACGTTCGAGTGTCAAGCAGGACATTGGCTGCTGTACTGCTGAGTTAGTTTATGGAACTACTTTAAGATTGCCAGGAGAGTATTTTAACCCAGCAACAGACGTTCCACCGGACTTGACTATGTACAACAACTACGGCGACACATGAGCACACTTCGACCTCAGTCCCCACGATACCGAGACAACCAAGTTTACGTACCTCAGTGCATCTCAAACTGCACTCACGTTTTCGTCCGACACGACGGCGTACGAAAACCCTTACAGCCCCCGTATGAAGGACCTTTCAAGGTAATTAGTAAATCAGACAAAGTTGTCACGGTCGAACGCTCGGGTAGACAAGAAACCATCAGCATCGACAGAATCAAGCCAGCGTTTGTGGAACCAGATGTCACGGACACCAAGTCTGAACCCACAGTGAAGCAACCGGAAACACCGAAAACCACCGTCAAAACAGAAATAACGGCACCGGAATCACCCAATACTAGCGATAGCAGCAGAACCACAAGATCCGGAAGAAGAGTCCGTTGGCCACGACGTTACTTCCAGACAATTTACTTTGAATGAAACCAATTTCCTAGTAACATTATTACCGTTTTTTTGTTCATTACCTTGTTGAAAATATGATCACACGATTTTGTCAGACTTTTCCGCATGCACAGAAAAAAAATTTTCTTTCCTGACACCATGGACTTCCGAATCTTTCATTTCTTAACAATGTTCCAGGTGATACGATTTTGGTTGTTAATTTTTTTAAAATCTCCTGATGTATCATTACTTTGGTAAAGTTATTTTAGTGTTTCGACTATCCTACACTCTATTTTTATGTAAGCACTCTTCCAATCAGTTTCCATCCTGATAATAGATATCCTAAACATTCCTTCCATGTTTTGAATATCTTCAAAATCAGTTTACCTTTCTCATAACATTTTATATCGAACACAGATATTCCCTCTTATACATGTATTCTGGGGAGGGACTTATGCAGCATTTTATTTCACCGTGTTGTGTTGATATATGTAACAACTAATTGAACATTTTTGTTAAGTTGTACTGATAAGGGCTTTTTGCTTGCTTGTTGGCCAATACAACATCCTGATATATACTTCGCGTTAACTCCTGATATTTACACTGTCTGACGCAGGTGGATCAGCAGTGTCGGGAATTATAAACAGGCGACAGTGTATCTGGACATGTATATAAATTTGGAGCCAGATTTCAGAGCTCGACATACTTATCAGTAGGTGTCAGTGTTATGTCAATTTTACATCTGTTGATAAATTTTGATGGAAAGTCATTTTACACTAATATATCCATTCGGAATTTGGCTTCTGTTTCTTTTGTTTCATCTGTGCAAATACGATCAACTCTATTCAATAAACACCTGACTAATCGACGCTTGCAATGGACTGAACAGTACCTATGAAATTTACGTTTTATATAAATTATCCGACAAATTCGTATATCATCCGATTGCCCGAAATGCATGGGGCTAATACATCACATGTTTCAAATAATTTGTCTCTTCTCATTACACTGCTTAAATTCATCAAGCGGACTGACTGCTTCAAGTTTCTGAATATAATACGAACTTCAATCTCTTGTAAGGCTTTATTGAATTTGAAGTTAAGGCTGATTCTTAAATGTCTTCATATGAAAAATCTAGATGGTAGGATGGCTTTGCCTCCAGAAAATACCTCAGCAAGAGTTATGAGCATTAACACCTATTTATTACAGTGTACCGCATTGATCAGCCTGAAATATACTATGCCCATCACCTATTAAATTAAAAGTCACTGTGGTTTGGGGTTTAAACAATATATACCTGTGTATAATGAGAGAATTCAATACATACAGAATCAAACATTGGGTAGAGGTCAAGTATGTTGTTTTCTTCTACTTCACAGTGAAAATGGTAGTTAATCTGGTAACAGGTTCTCATCAACTTCTTCATCGGCAAATTCATCTTGAATAGGTCTAGAACGTGCTGCTGTTCGTGGTCTCTCAACACTTGGTCCCAAAGGATCAGTGTATACAATATTTTCATTTTCTGCAGTTTCATCTAGTGTTGTTTCTTGATTGCCTTCAATTCGACATGCTAAATTACTCTTGGAGTATGATTTTTTCATCTGAAAGCTATGCCGATTATCATACTTCGCACTGCTTTCTCGACTTTCACCTACCGAAAATAAAACAAACTGCCATTCGGATGATCCACAATTAAGTATCAAAAACAAAGGAACTTAACAAAGCTTCATTTAAACTTTTTTATGCTCACTACAGCAAACATGAGTGTAACAAGACTTTACACTGCATTGATGGTATTACAGGTATAATACTTTTACTAATTGTAAGCATTTGGTGGGTAATTTTACGTTTTAAAAGATTGGCTGAGTTTCATGCACCTTAGTGCATAACATTAAATTAAGATCAAGTTTAACTTGTTCACTGAGAGACTAATTAACCTACTTTTTAATTCTTGTTTACACTTACCTCCACTGCTTGCACTAGCTGAGTTCTCACGACTTGCCGTCGTCTTGGATGAGCCACTAAGACTGTAACCTCGACGACTACTTGCTGACAGTTGGCGTTGTTCCCTTGCCTCTTTTATTTTTTCTGCGCGTTTCAATTTGCTTATATAATCTTGGGCTTCAGGTAAACCCATATCAGAACTCAGTCTTACGAGAAACTGAAGACCTGCATAAAAAGAGAAAGTATAACAAATAGAAGATTTGATTAACTAAATAACACTCATTCTTTCGTAAGTAAACCTCTTGCAAGTTAAAAAAATTTACCTATCACTGATTTTATATAGGAATTACGAACGTTTTGAGGGTATATAAGTAAATACAAAAATTTTAACTGTCTTCAGCATACACACACCAAAGAAGAGTGTCAGTTAGACCTGACTCGTAAACGTATAAGCACACAGATGATTTTGATAGTAATTGAGTTACATCTATTAAATTATTTACTCTAGCAAAACTTAGAGAAACTATGAGTCTTTGGGATCCTTAATATTTAGTTACAGCGAGTTATTTTAGTCAAAATTAGGCATATACATAGGTAACAAATGTTCTCGATGTTAAGTACACTTTTCTTATACAGTCTCATCAACCATGAGAATAATAAAAAAAAGCCCTCGAAAACAATCATTAAAGTGGGACTAGTTCTTTTGTGCTTCTTCTTGAGTAAAATGGCAAACTTTGAAGGATTATCTGAATGGTGTGTAAAAGCACATTAATTTTTATTATTACCTTCCATTAGCACTTGTTAGCAGGTATAAAATGAAGGCATTTAAACGACCAATACAATGGAATGCACAAGTGTTATGCCACCATTCAGAAAAAAAGATTGTATTCGTTCTGATATTTGTTGTTTTTAGAAGGAGAGGTAGTGTAAGCAGAAGTATACTGGTGCTAGTTTAACTTCATGATGTGGAGATAACTGCAACAATGATAGGAAACTGAATGTTTAGAAGACTTTGATCACCAGTTTCGTTAAATAAAACGTAATAATATAGAGCTGGCTTTGGCTGAGACAATAATAAGGTGTCAGAGACCATTGACTTTTAGTGAAGACAACGCCGAGAAGTAGTTGTTTGTGTTATTTTCTCCGCAAGCACAACTGTTAGTGTGGATAGTTACCTTACATGTTTAATCTCCATTAGTCTTGAGGAAGACCTAGGTATTATTTGACCTTCCAGACAGCAATTCAAACACAAAGTGTTAGACAGTATTGAAAACCACAGCGAAAAACATAGATTATGGAAGAACTATGAAAAAAAGATACTGTATGCTTCATCATATGAAGTCAAACTTACATTCAGTATTCTCTGGGAACTTTTGGTGAATAATTCGGTATGTTTCTAATGCTTGTTGGTAGTTTCCACTTCGTCGGTGACAAGAAGCGATCATTAATTGCCATTTAATTTGATTAGGTCTAAATGAAAATTTTTTGATCACTTCAATAATTGAAAAGTGTGTGTAACGTTATACAATACGATATAATTATCAGTAGAATCTCCCAGATCAGTGTTGCTGGCTTTGACATGGCCTCAAAAGGTTGCAACTTTTCATAACCAAACTTTCCCAACCTGACCTGTTGGCAGTAAAAAGGTATTCAAGTGCTGGAATGTCAAAAGAAATACTGAAAAAAGTCTAAATGTTTCTAATAGATGGTGAAACTCTCATTAGAAATTCTATGTTGTTTTGATGGATGGAAATTGTCAGTATTCGTTCAGGTGAAAATCCTTGTTCTTATAAAGTAGGAAATCAAAGTATCGAAAAGGCATTAGAGACTGCTTGTTCTCTAGCATAACCATCCACCAATGGAAACAACGATCTTTTTATTGAAATATCGTTTTAGGAAGTGTGCTACACCACAAAATTATAAGTATACGCAATGCGAAATTTCAGATTACTGTTTTAGGCCTATAACTTGGTTCAGTGATTAATTTCATATCTGTTTGTCTACGAATAAATCAGATTGTCTCTAATTAGTAATTGTGAACACAAGCACATTATTTGGTTACATATAATCATTTAACCTTCATTAATTCTAAAAATGTTTTCGTTCGTGCCAAAAGGGAACGTGTTCATAGATTAAAATGGTGGGGACTAACTGAAATGGTGGAGAAAACTGGTAGATAAGTTGAGTGATCTCGGTTGTCTTGTCCTATGGGCTGGGTTGTTTAGTCGTGGAACTTTCACCGTCTTGCTAGACGACATCATCAGCACTAGTTTCAATATGAAGTAAGCTGTCAATACCTCTCCGTGAGTGATTCAGTAGCTTGCCTTGACGAACTGGTTTGTGATTGGTTGTTTTCTTTGACTGTATAGATTTTGTCGTTTAGTGTTCCTCTGCTTAACCTCTGACCTTCCTGTTGTTTATCTTCTTTCTTGTTGGTTGATAGATTGGCTCCATTTCTATACATTTACTGATTGCTGACTGACTGACCTGAATCCCAAGCTTCTAGGAATTCTCTAATATTCTTTGTGTTTCCTCCGTTCAAGATTTCTACATTGTCAAATTTGAATTCATCTCCATAGTTATCCATATGCATTGAAATGGGCGATGAAATGTCTTGACGTTTAATATCCAATTGGCGTTCATTGTAGGCGAAGACAAAGCGGGTGACCGCTTTGTCCAGTGTAGTGTTGACTATAGTTATTGAAGTTAAGTTTGTAAATAATATCTGGCTTATGCGTCCTTTGGTTTGCCAAATAGAGTTTGAAGGGAATTTGTTGGTTCATGAACCACACCACTTCCCAGTGGTCTGAGTAATCTTATCGTGACCTCTGACGCATTCTTTATGTACCCTGGATGATCTATTCGTTCGATTTTGGTCAATGACTTTGTGGTTGATGATGCACAAGTGAAGGATCTTCTGATAAAGTTTCGTAGGGAGCCGATCTTTTTAAGGATGGATATCAAGCAATTTTCTTCTTTTTACATTAAGCTGTTGTACCTCAGTGGGTTTTTGCTTTTTTGAAAAGGGTCTACTAATTTTGTGTATTGTTGCTACTGTAGTTGAGGATTTGATCATTGTGCGTTGACTTCCTATACACTTGGGTTTCCGGCTTTTTAGCATTTGTTCTAATGACTAAAAATCAAGGAATGGCAGTTAGTTGTTTGACTCCCTCACCATTGTTAAGTTGATGGCATTGAAAATGCTGTTGATTAAGCTGTTAGTGTTTTCTAAACCATCCTTTTCAATGATGACAAAATTACCGTTCACATGGCGAATCCATATTTTTGGTTTGATCACAAGTAAAACGATAGCTTCAAGTCTTTGTATCACTGTTTCCGCAATTATTCCGGATATTGGTGATTCCATTAGGGTTCATTTTGTGTGTTTGTATATCTTGCCATTTAATTGGAAGTATGTCCGACAAAAATCAGTGAGTTCCATGAGATTTAAACGGTTATATTCTGTGCGTTCTGAAAGGCTTATGAGAAGGAGGGACATAGTTTCCTTGACTAATTGTCGTTCGATTGATGCGTATAATACTGTGACATGGAAGGATACCATTAATTCGTCTTTTTCTATATTACAGCTTTTGATTCTCTCTAAGAATTCTGTTGGTACTTGATGGAATGTCCGCATGATTGAACAAGTTATTTCAGTTTCGTCCAAAGTTCTCTTGATTTGTTGTAAATTGGAGTTCCCGGAAGTGAGACTATTGGTCACAGAGAGATGTTTGCTTTGTGTAGTTTTGTTTAGGCGTAAAACCAAGGAAGGACATATCCATTTGATTTCACTCGCCATTTGTCTTACCTTGTTATTTCTTCTGCGTTAAAGAGCTTTTTCAAGATTTTGCTGATCTGGTTATCAAACTTTTGCACAGGGTTGGTTTCAAATTGCTGATGTACATTTTTGTCTTTGAGTAAATACTCTGCCTTCTTGATGTAGTCTTCCTGATTCATGACCACAGTAGTGCTTCCATTTGTCTGTTGGAAGTACAATCATATCTATCCTATTTTTCAGTTTTTTTAGCTTTTATTGTTCCTAAGTATTCGTTTGATGGTGATGTCTTTTCTGTTTAGTTTATGGTACTACTGTTTGCCGTACTTTTTGTTGAGTGACTTCACTTAATCCTGATGTTATAAGCGACGATACTAATGCAGAAAAGAATTATGGTTTTGTGGCATTTCTTGTATCATAATTCATTCCTTTTTGAAGAAGTTCTTACATTTTCGTTAATGACAGTTTTGATAAGTTGGTCACACAGTCGTTTGTTTCCTCGGTTTTAGGTGCTTCTGAAACTCTGAGCAGCTTTTTCCTGAGGTTTTTTTTCCTTGTTCCTTTAATCGCCTGCTTGAGTTTTTAATTGCTGTTGTTAACGTTGTCATGAGTTGTTCATTAAGTGCCTTTTCTGGTTTTTCTTTTAATTATCGATCAGCACGATTAAAGAAACTTAGCTCAAGAGTGCCAGCTATATACTACAGATTGACTGTCCAATGAGACGGAAAATAGCTGAACAAAGTGAATGAGAGATGATACAATTGATGATCATATCATACGATCCGGAAATATCAGTTGGTGATTGGTAATCGAAAGAAAAAACTAGAAGGCATACTTGTAACACAACATATGACAACGTTAACAACAGCAACTGAAAAACCACTTTGGCAATTGGATATGTTTATGTCATTTAAATGTGTAAATAAGCTAAATGTATTGCCTTCGACAAAGAGGATAAATAGATTTCATCCAGTGTTTAAAATCATATAGGATTTATTTATCTTAGGATTCCCGTGCTTCAAATTAAAGTTTGACTAACTCCCTATAAAACTTATAAAGTAAATTTAGAAGTAATATTCATCATGGACTGATATCAGTTGGGGAACCCTTGAAAGTCTTGGAGCACTGGACAGCTGATTCATCCTAGTACGGGACTCCTCAGAAGCATGCACCCACGACCCGGCTAGGGATCGAACTCAGGACCCCCAAGTTTCACGGCGAACGCGTTAACCATTCAGCCACTGCGTCGGTTTCCAGTGGTTCACAATTCCCAAATTCTGTCAATTCACGACATAGCACAACTATCACCCAGATTTTCAATGGCTCCCTAACTGATGTCAGGCCATGATAAATACTACTTCTAAACTAAAAAATCCCCATTCATCTCAAAAAGAAATTATAAAGTAAATGTTTGTTAGCATGGTAATTACCATGTTTAGTGGAACTATCTTAAACACTTTTTATATTTATGGTGCTATGACAATGTTCCTGCAACTTCCATTTCACTTTGATTGAAAAGGAAACTCCACTGATGATCATTTTTGCACTTACGCTTAAGAATATCATCGGAAACAAAAGTCAACAAATTTGTATTTGAGTATGTGATAGTCAACTTACTGCATCAAACTAGCGCGTTCAAAATAGGCCACAGCCTTTTCACAAAACTGTGATTCAATATAATAAGCGCCTAACCATTCAATAACATCAAAATTGCAGGGATAATATTTGAAGGACTGAAATTGAAATCGAATACAAGACAGTAAACTAAGTAGGTGATGATTAAATTTCAAATAAAAAGTAAGCAGCTACCAGATTTGGAACTAATAATCTTTAATTACTGATTCATTGTTCATCCATATGAAATAAAAGATCCAGTGGCTGAAGGTTGGAGCGTTCGCCGTGAAACCTGAAGGTCCTGAGCTCGATCCCAAGCCGGGTCGTGTGTGCATATTGCTGAGAAATCCTATACTAGGACGAAACAGCTACCCAGTGATCCTAGTTTTTCTGTGGTTCTCCAACTGACGTCAGTCGATGATGAATACTACATCCAAAGACTCATCTGTTCAATAAAAGTGAAGTTAGGTGGGTTATCTGAACATTCTTCAGAACCATCATTAGCACTAGAAAGTTATTACTTGTTTTCTTGCCTCACGTAATTCACTAATTTTAGTCTTCTCAAGCCAGTTAAGATAATTTAGAAATGTAAAATTGACAGAATTAATATGATGCTCATGTGTAGCCGAAAATACTGTACTTTCTAACTTTATCCAACTTGGCAGCACATACATAATAGTTGATAAATAATGTTCAAAATTAGCTATCACTTTTCCGATTCTGAGGGAAACTAAGTGGAAAATTGAATTTACCTTTTACCTACTTATAAGTCCCAAATGTTATGAATCCCAGTATTGCAGTGATTTACTCACAAAAATGGATGGTGAGGAAAAGGGTAAGAAATCTGTTGTGCGATGAATCCATTGTAATTAAACCTATTTGGCTACGCTTAGGTTCGCTGGGACATCACTTCTATGAATGCGGTTATTCAAAACATTACGTCTGTAATCATATATTGCCTATTTCACAGCTGAAATAGGTGTGGTATGTTTATAATGTTGTCAACAGAGTCATTTTAAAACGACGTTTATTTTTAATGACTATTCATTCAGGATGAATCAACTAGCGTTAAATGAAAGCACTCATTACTATACTGACAAGGATTGATAAACTTTGGACGCAGGTGAAATCATTGTTTTCTGGCTTCTGAATCAAAACTGACTAGTGCTACATTGCTGTGCATGACTTTAATGCAACATCTGAAATAGAGGCTCTCTGGATATGGAAATACTATGTCGAAGAAAACATCGCAGCGTAGAAATAAAGTTGAATATTGTCTTCTCGAGACAGTTATGCGATTTATTTACCCAAAGTTCTAACAAATTTCTTATTTTGGCGGAAAGGTTTACATTTTCCAATTTTTAAAAGATAAGTTTACAGGAATAGATAAAGAAAAGTGGTCTTTCTTCTGTTTAATTTTTATCTCAAATCCACAGGCTCGTACACCTTTTCCTTCTAGGTTTTATTCAGCGAAATTCTGAAGTTGGTAGAGACCGGTTTTCAGAAGTATTGTATGGTTAATTAATTACCACTGATAAAGAAGAAACAAAATGTTGAAAGAGGAGAAAGAGGAGTAAAAATGTTTTATAGGGAGTTTTAGAAGTAATAATATAGTTGGCTGAACATTGTAAGTGACTATAATTGCTGATATGCAACCTTCTTGATGAACTTGAATGCAGAACTGAGTTGAGGCACTTAACAGCAATTATTTAATAACTGACATTGCTCTGTGCACTAGAACAGAACAACGGACTGAAGATACACAAATAACTTGTATGATATTTCAAGGTGTTTTGAGTAGCACGAATGAACAAAAACACAACCACAAGAAAAGGAGAGTTCATCAAAGATAAAATTCACATATAGGTGGTTAAATTCATTTCGAATTGTTACCAACCAGTAAAGGGCTCCATATTCTGTTTCTACAGGTTACCAAAGTGATCAGTCCTTCAAAAAAAACAAGTAACTAGATGATTAAATATGCTATAAACCATGCTACATTATAAAAGTAACCAATCGCGTGACTTCATCACTTACAGTCCGCTGTGTTAACTAATTGCAAACCGCAAACACCAAGTAAACCTGTAAATATTTTCAAACAGCTCAATTCATTTCAAATTTGCAAGTGATCATTTAGAGTGGTAGTTTCACTTTAGCTTTGTTTATTAAATGCATCACATGAAAACTGTTATTTAATAGATTACGTTCCGAACAAAATACTCTTTCCATATTTATTGGAAGGCTAACTAGGCTATAGAAGCACGAAAATTTTGCCAAGTCAAGCACTATAAATTCTCATAAGATAAGGAATCTATAGAAAAGCTTGGCTATAGTTATACATGCGATTACAGATCACACTATAGGACGTAAAAGAGTGTCAGTTCGCAAAACTAATTTAGTTAGGTGAAGAGAAAGACTGACTGTAGAATCTCTGTTTATCGAATCATCAGTAAACACATAAATTAAGAGTGAGTCGGCATCTGTTCCAGATATATGTGAAATTCCGCTACTTATTTCACAAAGGGGATAAAATTAGAGCTGTTTCGAAGTTGTGAAGTTTCCTTAATACGAATTTGGCGAACAAACTCTGTCCAGAACGCTATCCACTAAGTAATTCTGTTTCACTGCGTGATACATCTCACAAGCAAACTAAAATACGAATACAGTCTACCAGTGTTTATACTTTGCTTCTATTGTTAGGGTGATGTTCAGTATCTGAATAATTCTGCTCTTTTTTAAGTCTATTGTGATGCCCAAAACTGGTCATCCAATATTATGTAAGAATATGTATATGAAGGGTAATTTGGACCCACAAGGAATACAGTTAAATGTCACTTACATCATAATAATATGAAAACGCTTGAGATTTATCACCTTCTTGTTCATAGCTGTCACCTAGTCTTTGGAGAAGATATGGATCTGTTGGAACCATCCCATGTAACTGCATTGCCCTGAAATTATTAGTAACAAAATATACCGTTCTAAGACATCATAACGTACACACAGATATTCGGTCAAACTAGTGTCTTCTCAATATTACCATAAAACATTTCTAGAAGTGAAAATAAAATATACGTTTTTCAAGGTTGTAATGTAAGTGACAATCTCTGTAATCTACATCAAAACTGGCTTCTACCAAATTAAGTTATATAAAGTAATATTTCGTGAATAAATTATGCACAGTTGAATGACTGAACTAGTTAAGGACCTTGTCACACTATATGTTATCCAGCTGGACTTATTATGATGACTACAACTGAATGGGATACAATTATCAGATTGTGTGAGAAATAAGGACCTATTTCTAGTTAGATTCATAGTTAACTATTCATTAACGGTTTGTAAAGGATTCTTCACAATATGATTATTTGTATATTCCTTTTTCTTTTTTTCAGACAACATTCATATGGCTTTACACCGGCATACATGTGTGGAATAAGCTTTGTCTGTTTCATCTCTGCTGGTTACAAAGAAAGTGTTAAGGACAACGTTCACAGTCTATCTAACGTTCAGACACTCAGATTTGTTTGATGAAAAGAATACCTACAGGTAATATTTATTTATTCATCCATATGAATTGGTCATTTTTTTTATCTTGAATCATTTGTCTAGTCAAACAAATTAGTTTTCTAATACAAGCATCAAGAGTCATGTAGTATAGGATATTTCACGATACGATTATTTCAGTCTCGTCTGTATAATCAAATATTTTTGGTAAACTTTGTTTTCATTAGCAGCTCTCATTCATACTGATTCACATGTTCGTAACCTTACTTTATGAATGACAATCCGCTCAATAAACTGGACATTTACAGTAAAACTGAGATAAGTTCCATATTTTATCCTAAAAAGATTATTTACTGTTTTTAAGTGATTGAACCCCCTCCCCCCCCCTCAATGAGCTTAATTTCAGGTTCGAAAACTAATACTCCTTTTATGAATTCTATTTAAGACGAAATTTAAGGTATAAGGCATACTATTCATAATAATTATTGCAAAAACCAAAGTGTAGCGAATGGACTACTCAATACATAGTTGTCAAAAAATAAAGAAAAAAGGGTCAAGACATGATCCTTAAAAATGTGAATTTTGATTCTGAATTTCTGGGCGCTAAAACAAAATGACTCTTTCCGTCTAACTGTAACGTTTTAGAAGCCGTTAAAACAAAGAGATAAATAATTTCTTACAAAGAGTCTATTTACTGCTTATTGTCGTTTAAACTTTAAAAGTTATTGTTTAACAATAATACTCACCATTCTTGTGCTTGAGTAGGATCTTCTAGCTTTTCATAGATATCCATAATTTGAAAAACTACTGGTGCACTGTTTCTTAGGATAGCATGCAGCTTGAAAAAGGTTTCAAGTGCTTCTTCGTACCTCCCTAGTCGTTTGCATACCAGGCCAAGATTGTAAAGAGCTTCTACACAACTAGTGTCATCCTGTAATGCTTCTGAATAACAGTCTCGAGCTCTTTCATACTGTTGTTGTTGAAATAACACATTGCCTTTGTTAACAAGAGCTATTACAGGGAAGTAACCGTTAAAATTTAGTAAACACGTTGTTATAAAATAGTCATACATGGTTGCATTTTGCATAGACAAATCTAAAACAGAAAAAAGACTCAGTCCTTTGTAAGCTAACTGGTTAGTAGTGAACAAACTGTATAGTGACTACATTTAAGTGACTTTTTTTGAGAAATCAAAATATCCGAAGGAGGAATTACAGTAGAAAAATAGAACCAAAGAAAAAGGGTGATTACTATATGCTAGGTATAAGTATACTGCTAGTAGATATTACTTAAAAGCGGAAACGTCCAAATGGATTTGTTAATCTTCAGCATTTACAAAATAACGTTAACTCCATCCATGATTTGAAATCAATGCAGGGTGACCAGGTTATAACTACTCCAGTAAAAAGGTAAATAAGCAAATCAACGTAGAACCATAAACATAAGCAGCTATACTTTCCAACAGAGTGTAAAGTAGAAGTGAACTCAAGTAAAGTGATACTGAAATCTAAAAATAGGTTAAAATACTTATAATTAGTTAAGATTGTATTCTATCCAACAAAATACAGTTCTGATCAGTTTCTTTTGTTAACCTAAAGCAGTTGAAAACATAAGTTAGTGATAGTTGTCTTTTCTGACTAGTTATTTGGTACTACAGTCAAATGAATTAATGGATTTAGTTTCGCCTAGACTAATAAAAAATTGTGACAGAGTAAACAAAATTAGATGATTTCTTTAAATATGACTAAATTGGCATTACATTTGAGAGTGTGTCTCTTTGACCTCGAACTTACCGAATTACTAAGCTGTGGAAAAACACTTGTAAACACACATGTAATGTTCAAGTTATAACGCAAATATCAAGAAGCCAATTATATAAGTAGCAGTCGAAACTGGCCAAAACAAATGTCTTGTTAATAATAAATCTGGAAGCAAGTGACACTTATCAAAACAGAAGGGAGTTTTCAGGTGCTTTATTCCGGGACGTTCTAGAAACAGCTTTGAAAGATACGCTTATTGGCGCGTGTCTTCCAGAGGAAACAAGAGGAGCTTCTGACCTTAGCTATGTGGATGCTATCGTCTTACTGTGAGACAATACAAATGACTCAAACCATGATTAATAACCCACTTAATAGTGTTGGTTGAGTGTAATATTTACTTTGAACCATGTAGTCGAAAAATAAATTCCCCATAATTAATGAAAGCAATGCGTGTACTCACACATAGTGGGTAACCTTTGAGAGAATTTCCTGGTTTCTAAGTAGTTTCGTGACTTCAGGTGAAGGCAAACCACCTAAGATATTCAACTTTATATCGTGAGCAAGAGAAACATTTTTAGGATTTGTCACTTTTTCTGCCTTTATAACTTTAGTCTTGCCATCAGACGTCATGTATACAACGCTTTGATCCAGGTTTTACTGCGTTACCTCTCAGATGTTGTTCGGACACTGTTTCCGATCAGTGCTGCTTCTGTAGAATTCATTGCACTCTGTGGTAACAATAAGTTACTGACTCTGACCTTTAACAACTTTTATATGGCCTTTATAAAGACTGTTATTCAACAAGTGACAACGTGGTAAAGTAGCAAATTCAGTGGCCTGGTAACTTTGTGGGAGTTTCAACCCACTGGTTTCAATATAATTTTCTCTTTGCTGTATATGCAAACTGTATGTAATAAGGTAGAACTTATCAATCTGTTAAGTGGCGTCATACAGCAATCAAAGCTTTATTAAAGTTATCTCAGTTCAGTTTCTAATTGATCGGTGTAACTCAAACACCTATATATATATATATATATATATATATATATATATATATATATATATATATATATATATATATATATATATATATATATATATATCTTATGTTGGTCTTCGAGCTTGAAGTTTTCGCTGCAGAACTTTTGATAACAGCTTGAACGTCATGTCTAAACCGGATTAATAAGAAAGTGAAATGGGAATATCTTTTATGAGTTTCTTTTGAGATAAAAACTACATTAATTTTTGGTTTATTGCATTCTTTCTGACTGACCTTAAATTATTGAGTTGGTTTCTTTTTACAATGGCTCACTGTGTACATTTTTTACTTTTCTTAAGTTATACTGTTGAGGTGATCTTTTCGATTGACCTTTTTCATTTACATGTATTTCAAGTAGATCTGCTCTTATTTGAAATATAAGAATGGCTCCGTCGGGCTCACATTTGATCTCTTTCTTTAAGCTGGTTTTCACGGCGAAAATAAACTTGAACTTACTGTGTAAAAACTTCTTAGATAGCTCTAATGCGTACTCGATTATTTTAAAGCTATCTATCCTAACCATTTTATGCTTCATTAAAGTTATTGTATAAAGTAGAAATCCAAGTAATGCAAACAACCTATATCGCTTTCTAAACTCGGGAAAACGTTCAAAAGTTACGCATATAATGACCCATGTTTTCATTATTATACCTAAGGGGTCTGCAAATGATAGCTTGTTTCTGTGGTTGTGATTTTAATAATTACATTTATGCCCTAATTTCGTCTATTTTTCAATTGGTAAAATACTAACATTTATCTATCGGTTAGTAGTACGATAACTGTCCTGTAGAACCAAGACTGAAACTAATTTGGCGAAATATGGCGAAAGTCAAGTATAAAATTTCACTTATTCCAAGTAATCAAAAACCATCAAGTGTGAAAATGATCAGAAAAATTTGTAACCATTGTTTCACTACATAAAAACATTCTCTATAAGACTGTGAAGCTGGCTTGAAATAAAAATAACCCACTTACTGTCTTGAATATTTTGCTTATTTTTCATAAATATCTAGTGTTTCAAGAAAAAAACCTGCTAAGGCAATCTATCATTTAACTATTCATTAAGGTAATTCTTATTGAATATCAATAAGGTGGGATTTGTGGAAGATCTTAGCAACTAATGATGATGTCTTTCGAACAAAAGTTATCGTTCATCTGATACCAGCATAGCAGTGTCTGTTCATGAACGCCTTGTATATGACTCAACCTGAATATTACATTAGCGAATAACTTTTGTCAAAAATTCAAACAACCGTTGTATTCTCAAAGTCAGTGTTCTATGCTGAAAGACCAACACAGTATTTTAGTGCAGTCTGCCACATAAAGAGGAGATTTCTACTTTATTATAAGTGCATAAGATACTGAGATTTTGTAACAAAGGAAAGGCAAACACTTTGAGAACCAGAGGATTATTTTGCTCAATACAACTGTGTAATTTGGAAGCGCAAAATTTCAAAAGTAATGTATTAAGTGAGTCTGCTGTTAGTGTTTATATCATGTGTATTCTATTGTTATAACAGAAGATCCAGTTAGTTCATTGTTATCTTCACATGGAAGCGGATGTGTACACTTTTTCTCATCTGTGAAATCTTGAGTCTGTTCACTCACGTTTATCCATGTTTCCGCTTCCCATTAACGCACCTCTGTCTGCTTTTATATCATTCCTGTACTGTCTACATATTTCTACTTCTTTTTCACTAGTAGAAACTTGAACAAATGCAGTTATGTGCCTGGTTTTCTATTCATTTGTATGTCTAGCTACCTTTTGTAATCATTTAATATTTCTTTATCTGTCTTAGTTACGATGAAACTAGGACATCATAGTATATGAATTATTTCTTGTCCAGTGATAACTGCTAAAGGTGATGTTACTTAAACTCATATTTTAACAGGTGATTTTTGTCAAGTGATTCTTATTAGAATCTGAGACTTAAATCCTAAGAACTTAAAAATTTACCGCTAAGGTAGAACTTTCAGATATAAGTTTGAATATCAATAATCCTGATTATTTGAATCATTAAAACCGACTGAAAGTATGTAGCAATGAGTCAATCTAAGTAAACTGTACACACTGTAAGATTAATTGAACATAATGAAATATAGTAGTGGTGTTCCGAAAATAATTTAACGGCCTGTTCAAGAAACCTATTCTTGGTAAAGACGGAGTTGGCCAGATTTCGAATGTTTCAACAAAGTGGAACTATTATTAGATGGCATAACAAGGTGTCATCCTTATATATATATATATATATATATATAACCTCGCCTGGTTAACTAGTTTACTAGTTACTAGCCGGTCCTAAGCCCGGGTAAAGAGGGAAGGTTGGGCATAGGGCTAGCAACCCTACCCCGTAAAACAAATCTAACCGCTAAAGAAACTTCAAAGCACAAACAAAATATAAAAAATGAAAACAAACTTATTCCCCGCTGGAATCGGAGAGGCGAAATGACGCCAGTTGGTGAAAGCCTTCGGGAAGCCAATTGGCCGATGTGTCTTCTCTCGATGAAAGCGAAAGTAAACGTGGGGACATGGAATGTCCGCACGATGTTTGAACCCAGTAAGGCAGCCCAGATTGCAAACGAGATGAGAAGGTATAACATCGAAGTGCTTGGGATTTGCGAAAGCAGATGGAATGGGAGTGGACTCTCCAAACTGTCAACTGGAGAATCAATAATCTACTCCGGTCACCCAGACGCCAACCACGAGCACACTGAGGGAGTGGCTATCATGATGTCCTCAAGAGCATCGAAGGCTCTCATGCAGTGGGAACCAATCTCCTCCAGGATCATGACAGCAAGATTCAACTCAAAAGGAAGAAAGGTCACAATCATACAATGTTATGCACCTACAAATAATGCAGAGCAAGAGAAAAAGGAGGATTTCTACAGACAACTTCAATCAACACTGGACAAGACGTCAGTTGGCGATATCAAAATTCTGATGGGCGACATGAATGCCAAACTGGGAGGGGACAACACGGGAAGAGAACTAACCATGGGTCGAGAGGCGCTAGGTGAGATGAATGAGAATGGAGAATTGTTTGCAGAATTCTGTGCATTCAACGATTTGGTGATTGGAGGCAGTGTGTTCAGGCACAAAGATATCCACAAAGCGACATGGACTTCACCAGATGGACACACTAAAAATCAAATCGACTTTATCTCAATCTCAAGAAAATGGAGACGCAGTCTACTTAACACAAGGTCAAGAAGAGGAGCAGATGTAGGTTCAGACCACTATCTAGTGCAAGGAACCTTCCAAATCAAGTTAAAAGCCTTCAAGGAAGCTGGTGATAGACCTCAATTCAAGTACAACACTCGGAAACTGAAGGATGAAACTACAAAGGAGATCTTCAAGGCAGCCATCAAGACAAAATGGGAGACATCGAGGGACATCCCTGAAGAAACCTGTGTGGAAGAACACTGGAAGTCTTTGAAAGCTATGTGGAAAGAAACCTGCACAACAGTATTAGGAAGGAAGAAGAAAGAAGACAAGGAATGGATCTCGACGGATACCTGGAAGCTGATAGAGGAGAGGAGGATGGTGAAGCAGAAGATAAACCAGTGCAAGGATGCTCAACGACAAGAGGAACTGAGCACAATGTATAAAACACTGGACAAAGAAGTGAAGAAGACAAAAGACACTTCTACGAAACACTGGCAAGTGAAGCAGAACAGGCTGCAGGTAAGAGAGACCTGACGACATTGTATCAAATAACCAGGTTGCTATCAGGGAAGAGACCAACACAGATGAAACCAATAAAAGATGAAGAAGGAAATTTAATTACAAAAGAAGAGAAACAGAGGAAACGATGGGCCGACCACTTCAAGAAGCTCTTGAATCGACCACCACCTGCACTTCGTCCAGAAATACCACCTGCAGCCGCTGAATTACAAGTGAACATTAATCCCCCAACGAAAATGGAAGTCCTGAACGCCATAAAGCTACTGAAATGCGGGAAAGCAGCAGGACCAGATGGAATACCGCCAGAAGCACTGAGAACAGATGCAGAGACAACAGCGGACATGCTCACACCACTATTGCAGAAGGTGTGGAAGGAAGAGAAGGTACCGGACGATTGGAAGAAGGGTTACCTTGTCAAACTGCCGAAGAAGGGAGACCTCAGTGCTTGCAAGAACTGGCGCGGAATCACTCTCCTGTCCACCCCAAGTAAAATATTAAGCCGCATCATCCTGGAGAGGCTAAGGGATGCACTGGATTCAAAACTACGACCGGAACAGGCAGGCTTCAGGAAGTACAAATCATGTGCAGACCAAATTGCAACGCTTCGTATCATCATAGAACAGAGCATAGAATGGCAATCACCTCTCCACCTCAACTTCATCGACTTTGAGAAGGCCTTTGACAGCGTCGACCGAGAAGTAATTTGGAAACTGCTTCAATACTACGGAGTACCGCAAACCTTTATCCGCCTCATTCAACAACTATATGAAGATGCCACATGCCAAGTAATTCACAATGGGAAGCTCAGTGATGCCTTTGAAGTGAAGACAGGAGTGAAACAAGGTTGCCTACTATCCCCCATGATATTCCTTATTGTGGTGGACTGGATCATGCAGCAAACAGTAGGCAGCGAGAAGAGGGGGATACACTGGACGACGGAAAAGAACCTAGAAGACTTGGATTTCGCCGATGACTTATGCCTAATGTCACATAAACTTGAAGATCTGCAGGCAAAAACTAACAAGTTGATAGAAGAGGCAGCTAAGACGGGACTTCAGGTGAATATAGAGAAGACAGAAGTGATGAAGATACCGCACCAACAACAACAACCACAACAAACTCCAATCACCGTCAACGGGAGAAACTTGAAGGAAGTAACCTCCTTCACTTATCTAGGAAGCACTGTTTCAACTACAGGCGGGACGGACGAGGACGTCAAAGTCAGAATCGGAAAAGCAAGACAGGTGTTCATTAGCCTGAAACCAGTGTGGAGATCTTCTGCACTCAGCATGCGGAACAAGATACGGATTTTCAACACCAACGTCAAGTCAGTGCTCTTGTATGGCTCAGAGACTTGGCGCGTCACGAAAGGCATTTCCAATAAACTACAGACATTCATCAACAACTGCTTACGCTCGCTGCTGAAGATCAGATGGCCAGAAAAAATAAGCAACAAGGAACTCTGGGAACGAACCAACCAAGAACCTATCACGCAACAAATATGCAGGAAGAAGTGGAGATGGATTGGCCATGCACTGAGAAGGCCGACTGAGGACATCACGCGTCAGGCCCTCGAGTGGAATCCCCATGGGAAGCGACGAGTTGGACGTCCGAGGGTGACATGGAGGAGGTCATGCGAGGAGGAAATGAGAGCTTCTGGGCTGTCGTGGAACCAGGTTCAAAAGATCTCAGAGAACAGAGGTCACTGGAGGCGTGCTACTGAAGCCCTATGTTCGACTAGGAACCCAAGGGACTAATAATAATAATAATAATATATATATATATATATATACATATACTCCAAGGGTATTCGACACTATGTTTTCTATTTTCCGTAGAAAAAAAGAGTTCGAAATGTATAACTTTGAAGTGTGGCTCCACCTATAAAATTGCCGTTACTAACACCCTTTTTCATATTTCAAGAAAAGTTCTACAGTTTTTCTTTCAAATGATTTCTTTTGAGTGATTTCATGATTTCATTTTCGTTGAATGCATGCTCAAGTCTCTGTTTGAAACAAACTGAATTTTATAGATGATTCCGAATTCTTAGAGTGATCTTGTCATGTCTAAGATGTAGACTTCAAGTATTCAATCGATGGTTGCTTAGGATGCGGTTGAAGTGATCTTCACTAACGATATGATGCAGTGGTTCAGAATGATGCGTCTAATCTACTTAAACTGAAGCATTTTGATATCGATTGTAACGATCATGTTGCAAGGCGTTTCTCAGACTATTTAGAGGAGTAAAATGAAATTGGATGATCCATTTTTATAAGTCGTAATTTTTTATATTCAATGCCATTTTGTATTGACATGATAGTATTTTTACCTGTTTATAAGATTATTGGATAAAAGGGTTCTTTATAATGGCAGTAGGATAAGAATTCCAAGCCTGTTTTTCATCTCCTAATACACCTATTTTGTAATGCGAAGTATGTGTGAAAACTGAGTCAAAAATTTGACTGGGGGTTGGAAAGTATGAGGTCCAGAATAATTAGTGGAAATCGTATGAAAACTAGCAGTAAGGATACATTTACCTGCAGGATTGTAGCGATCAGCTGCCAAGGCTTGGTCAGCATACCTACCAGCCTGTTGAAGATCACCTTCAAGGAAGTATACAAAAGATAAATTTGTAGCAGCTGTACATGCCAAACGTGTATCCTTTCGTTCGAATGACTTCAAAGTATCTATTGCCTAATTAATGAAAGTATAAATGACAAATTGTTTGGTTTAACATATATGAACCGGCAAACTAACGGTAAAAATTTGAAAATCATTACAGAACTCACTTTCATATGCAGCGACTTTCCATTATCCTGGAATAATAATTTCGTGAGAATTATATATACAAGTCTACCAAACCACGGCTATGTCGGACAGTCAGAATGGTAATATATATAATCCTCACTAAATTATTTAATTACGACATTTGAACTTTCAATGGGCTTCATGTATTATATCAGTGTTCATTAAATCGGAGTGGCAATTGAGAATCAACCTCAAGTACTCCTGAAACAGTCGTTGATGAAGCACTTTATCATTGTCTGTTAAATTCAGTACGCCTTAACGAGTTATACGGAATGACAGACAAACAGACAGAAATCAATATGGAACCATGCACGAAATTTCAGTGGTTCAAGATGACACATTTTACAGTGGCATGCAAAAACAAGTGGGTAAAAAATGGAATATTAAAGCAAGTAAAGGAATATAAAAAGAGAGGAAATACTAGAAATTGAAAGCTATAAAAATTTTCAAGCTTAAGAAGACGTCAGTGACGAAACATATCTGGGCTATTGTTAACCATTTTCAGCCGTGCTACAAAAGTTCTCCAAACATTAGTTCCTATTATCTCGAGGACTCCAAACAGATACTTTACGCCTCTTCATACGTCCGAGACCAACAGTATGACACTAATGCCACATCCTCATTTCGTCATCCTGAAGCTTTTTCTAGCCTAGTCTCACTTCTGCTACCATGCTACGTCGAGTTAGTTTCACAGCTTCATCTAGTAACTTGCCTTTCTTGCCTAGTACTCTTTATCTAACCTTGTCACTGCTGACATGGTGATTCCATCATACTTGGTCAAAAACCTGTAACCACATCAGATCTTCTACTCTTAGCACCTATGTCTCATGACAGTATAATTGAACAGAACGGACTGCAGCGCAGTATACTGGTGCATTTATAGGTATTTGGACATATCGCCAGTCGGTGGAACAGATGACGCGATCGGAAGAATGAACGACAGGACTTCTGTATCCCACCTGGGTTTTCATCAACAACCAGCCTGTTTGAGCTAGTGGAACCTTCAAAACAAGTGGAATGTTTGACACATCCTACAACTTTACTCCATATCATTAATCTAGGGTTAGTTGCACGTTAGTCCTGGAGACTCATCTTGCAGCTGAAAGGTGTAAAACACATGCCAAACATACTCAGATTTCTGCTGAAGGCATATAAAAGACCATGTACTTTGTTATCGTCACCATACCTCAAGTCAACCAAATGATCTCCAGAGAGTAGATTGATCTCCGTGAAGTCATAGTTACTTAAGGTAATGTCTATTAGTACGTATAAGTTAAATAGGAACGGTGACAGTGGATACCCCTGGCGGACATCACTAGTTGTCTTCACATTTCCGATGACAAATCTCCTTAAGCCCTAATATGGCTTCGTGAGTTCGAGTAAAGAACTTTTAATAGCGTTATATACTTGCTCAATACTTCTTTCACAACCAAACAGAAGCACAACATATCACAGCTGACAGCCAAATCCCGTTTATGGGTCAAGAAATGAGGCAAGTATCGACATCTAGTAGGTATATCTGTGTTCTAAAGATTCAGTGGATGAAGATGTGATAGAAACACTCTCGTTCAGATCAAAAACAAACTTCATTTTCCTTAGTTTGTCTGCCTGAAGCTTTGGTTAGACGTAGCATAACTACGGACAACAAGATCTTAGATACTAAGCTAGATAAAAGCTTTTAACTTTTATTTTCTACATACTGGCATACATTTTAACAGGAAAAGCTGCTTTCAACTGTTTTTGTCGAAAATGCTTTCATTCCATACTTTAAACCTTCAAGAAGACCTTTTGTTCACATTGTTGTTCATTAAACAAGTCGAAATATACTTTATTTAATGATCTCCTTACTGGAAAAAAAAATAACAGAAAATAAGTTACAGTTACTTAAGTGTGAATATAAACTGTTTCATAAGTACCTGTTCTTGATATTCACACGTATGCACATATGCAAAAGTGAAAGCAATAGATTTATACAGCTAATTCAAGAAATGATGTATCACAATGATTTAAACGTATTCCCTCCCTGACGTCTTCAAAAGCTTGAAAAGTTGCACTAATCGTTATCTTCAGATTTTTAATTCTGTCAAACAACTTTATCTACCTACTCTCAAAGTCTTTTTTATCCACTTGTTCTCTGAATACTATTGTGGAGTTTGGCAACTTCAACCGATGCACTTGTGCATAAGGTTCTACGTTGACTTTGTCTGTCTGTCTGTCTGTCTATCATTCACAGGAAGATCCGTTGTGGTTAATTGTTATGAAACGAAATTTCCTAGTCTATTATTCAAAACTTCCGTTTTGATTTCCCTATCACAAAAATGTTGGTTAGGTCTTGCTACTACGTTCAGCTTAACTCTAGAGTAAAGAAATAACTTTATAGGCAAACAATGAATAAATATGAAGAAAATATTTTAAGAGAATTTCAATTTTTCGTACTTGAAAATATAATACACACAGTCTGATAGTATTTCACTAGCAGATCAAATCTGCAGAGCCCACTTTTCTTAACTGAATTCGTTATTTGATCTCCCCTCGATTAACTATTTTACCATTACTTTTGAGAAATGTGACGACTTAGTTACTGGATTATTTAGTGTACGACCCGTGTCAGTGATCAAAGTAATTCTACGTCAACTGTTTATCACCTTTGTGTTATAAGTATAAAGCTCTGATCGATTGTCTGCCACAACATTAATCAAGTTGGCTAGGATCTATCAAATATTTTTTTGAGGTGATTGTACTAAGTATTCTGATTGAATATTCAACCATGGACCGAAACAAAATCTGAAACAGATATGGTTGCCTAGTGATGGTACTGAGAAATCATCTACCTAGATTTGCAAGAAATTTAAAGAATCACTAATTACTTACAAGACATTCATTCGAACCGCATGTTAAATTTCAGTCTTCAAGTGATTAACTTCATGTTGAATTTTTTTCCATCTTGGTGGCCATCAGGTGACTAATTCATATAAGTAACTTTAATAAGACTTTTCCTAAATTTTAGTACAGAACTAATATTTTTTGTTCCAGTATTGGGCTTCACAAACGTCTAAAACATGTCTAGAACATTATTTAGGTAATGGGTAACGAGGTTCATGTACTATCCACTCTTCAATTTCTTAAGTTGAGTGCTGTATACACTCAGAAATCATGCAGAAGCATTTGGCAAATTAACTAATTCCAATAAACTTTACAGTTTTACTCCATTTTAATCATTTTTGTAGATATGTTAGGGGCTTACGTTTCTTCATTATGACCTGATTTGTATAATGGAAACTGAAAAGGTTTTCTGTAAATTACAACTGACCTGATGAAAATCTTTCTGTTTCAAGTACATAACAGCTTTATCAATTTCTAGATCATGTGCGATCTCATGATAGGAAGACATTTTCACTTGTTCAATGCACCAATCATAACCCATATTAAAGCTGGATTCAATCGCTGGAGAAATTATTTTTGCAGCCATCTTTATGAAGTTTTCTGCTTGTATTTTCCTTTTATTTTATAATCAAACAAAGATTGTGGATAAATAGTTAGTTACAGAATGTTATACAAAGATCAAAAATAATTTTATATACTAAGTGAAAGATAATTTTCGTTAACTTCCTATCGAAATGACATATAACCTCATACTAATCTTCCTGTTTAACTATAAGTTGACACAAAAACTTATCAATTGATAAAATGATATTGTATTTATTAGTTGAAATTAAAGACAGTAAACGGTCAGATAAATAGATCTGTCTCGATTTTTGTTTCTATATAGAAAGGTATATCAAACAACGATATCAGTTAGCATGAATCCTTTTTACCAAATAGCAGAATAGTTTAATCAAATCACTTAATGCATTTATTGACACAAAAGGTTTGTACATTCACTTCTCAGTGAAACCATTTGGAGAAACTTTGTGTGATACGCGTATTGGTTACTAGTGGGTAATCAGTTTACTTACCCAGTCATAAGTGCTTAGGACTATCGATCACGTTTTACAATATGTAAGATTTTTAGATTACTTCTGGCTCAAAAACGTTTGAATGACAGGAAAGTGGGCACTTTTACAACCATTGTGAGATTGTAGCAGCCAAATGAAATCAAAGCTTCACTTAACTTGACAGTAAGTGTATTCCAAATTCTAGAAAATAACAAGCTGATTCACCCTAAAGACCTGAGGGTGGAGCCTGACAGACAAATCAGCTTAGAATTAGCATACAAGTTAATTGGTTTTAGTGGCCACGCTTCACTAGCACGTAAAGATGAAATTAACATGAATCAGCAAAATCATAAAATTTAGGTTAGTAGAAAAGTCCTAAAATCTGAAGATGATAAAAAGTGAAAGGTTTTACTTCACTTTGATCGGTTTTTACCCATATTACCGAAAGTCAATAACATTTAGTTTATGATATCTAGAGAACCCTAGTGGTGACAACTTTGAATTCCTCATTATGGTTCAGCCTAACAGTCAAATACTGGTGCTTCGTCTTTATCTGACTTTTCTTAGCTTCCTCCCAGCCTCATGAAAGTTTGGCTTAGACCGAAACTTCAAAGTGGGTTGTAGCTCAGCATCTGCAGTAAATATCTAATTCACCAGAGTCACTGGAGGTTCAAGATCTCATAAAATGATTTGCCTTCCTTAGCTAACGCTCTTCCTTTTGCTTAGACACTATTTACTTCCTTGTTCCATCATATATGAGAAATTCTGTGGAGATAATTAGGGCCAAAATCTTGATACCTCCGCATATCTCCCACCTTAGATGGTTGCGTCTCACAGCCACGCATCAGTAGAAAGCGAAATGAAATGTACAATATTCATCCATTAGTAAGTAGTCAAATATCTCGCCAGTATAACAAATTGGGTAGATCGGCAAATTCTAAATAAACCTTGGTAACCATACCGAGTTTTGATCAGAGATCAGCCTATCAAGACGGCGCAAATATTCAAATCGATAAAATAGTTATGGTTTTTCACCCCTTTACTCTATACCTAACAAATAGGAGCCCATATAGAGCAGTCTTGAAGCATCATCTTAGATTTGATAGGTATCGAATGCAAGCCAAAATTGCTGAATGGAGACAGGTATCAACTAATTTTATATGTAACTAATCAGTATTTCATTGCTCTGGATTGAAATATTGCAGTCATGAACAAAATTAGTGTTCTGTGTCAACAAGAACGCTCAGCTCATCTTAAAGTCGGCCTTGTTGATTCAAGCAATGCTATCCACCACCTAATATGAGTTAACTGTGCACAGACAATGTGGCCTCAGATATGTAGAGTATTGCCATAGTAATTATTTTAAATGTTAGTTATTTAGTCCATAACTAATTTTTTACTGTACAATTTTTAAGTTCATCTTATGAACTTGTCCATTTTAGCTCAATCTAAACAAATTTATTAATAATTCTCTTATTTAACACATTATCTGTAATCTAATTATCATAAGTAATTACTCTTTCGCTTTACAGTTCAGTATTGCAAGTAAAGTCACCATTGAAGATTAATGATATACTTTGCTCATGAAAATACCTTTCATTTTTACACTGTAGCACGTCTGCCATTGCCCTCTCTTATGATGATTATTTCTTGTTCATGCGTCTTCGTTACCGGTTTATGCTACTCATCGCTTTCATTAAAATCCATTGTTAATGATAGTGTCGGAAAGCATTAGGGTTTTGACGTAGACAACAACCTTAATAAAGGTAACTGTTGCAGTCGATAAGTGCTGCATAAAGAATAATGTGAGGTGTAGTAAAATAACACATTATTTCATGAGAATACACCTCAGTAAACCGAAAAGACTAGATTACAAGAAGACAGAAGTGCAAAAAAGTAAAAAGCCATAATAGGATGTTTAAGTTTCTCAGCATGGTAAAGACATTAACAAATCAGTTATTTTCATCATTTTTCTCAGTGGTCTTATCAGACAAAAATTTGACAAGAATTTCTATAAAAAAATATTTGAAGCATAGATCCATTTGACTCAAAATTCATTTTATACGTGAACCAATAATTTTTAAATTTAGGCGTTAAAGCTGCTCAAATCACTATAAAAAAGGCTCTTAACCTTTGCAAAAAATGAGAAGTTACTACAGTAATGTACTTCTTAATAAATCTAATACGTCGATAGCCAGATCCCAACTAAAGTGATGTATGAAACCTGAAACTGCAGGACAAAATTATTGAGGTCTATTATCAAAGCATTATTGTAAATTTGGATACCATATCAGACTGTTTATTTGATATAGCACGTAGTCATGCAGTACTGTTAACTGAATGACATTTCAGACAGCATTTATTGCTCACATGATTGTGAGCACAAAAAGTAGGTTACTGGGACTATAGGTTCACAAATAAGATAGATAGGCACAAAATAATCAACGCTGCTTCTCAAGGCAATACAGCATCCCTAACTGTTAAGATACACCTTACTTCCATCCATCGAAAACCTGCGAAATTGATTTAATTAACTCCCTCAATAATAGTGGAGACTGTTTATTCAGATGCAGCCTACCTATCTAATTTTAGTGAACATGTAATAATTACTTAGGATAGAAACTTACTTTCTCTTCTCATACTGCCGCAGATCATCATTACCAATCACTTCTAAAATTAAATCATATTGTTTATCATCCTAAAATAATTAGCAGGATGAAAGAAAGGAAGAGATTAGTTTTGTTATTTCAGCATTACATTATGTTGTAAGTAACGATCTTCATCATCCAAATGTAGATCAACGCTAAGTAATTGCTGAAATGCATGTTTCATTTTACTACGACCACCAGTTATAAAATAGCAGACAATCAGATTGAAACCAGTTTTTGTATCTGGTTCTTCTTGCATAATGTGTTCAAATGATGTAATAGCTTCATTGAATTGACCAAGTTTAACAAAACTTATGCCAATATTCTGCATTATTTTAATTCTAAAAGAAGTAGCCTATTTAAAAAAAATTAGACTTAAACTTACCTTATAAATTTATGTGTATTAGGCACTTGATCTAAACCCATACGGAAGAATTTAATAGCTTTGGAATAATTCTTCTGTGTAAAGTAAATATTCCCCATATTCACCTTAAGTCGACCTAAAATAGTTCGCAAAAAGTAAGGATTGATTGGCGATAAGTGAATTTAGCATTTCCATTGAGTCAGATCTCATATTTTATCATCAGTTGAACGTAAATATAAGTGTAATCGTCAATGTAAATGAAATGTACTTTTTCTTTCTTTTGAAAAATGAAAACCACTATAAAAATCATGAATATACAACTCAAACTCATGGTACTTGTATCCCTCTGCTTTTTTAAGGGTGTAAACTTTTACGGGAAACCTATAAAAGTTTACTTTCGTAATATACTTTATTTCTTTAATTATTCAATATGAATTTATGGTGTTTACCTGCAAGCTTTTCTAGTTGGTTTTGTGATTCTTTAGTCCGTTTAATCCTTGTTACCTGTTTCACTTTAAAATAAGTGTCAGTAGCGTAATACTGAATTTCTGTTCAACAATAGATCCAAAAACTTGTGATTATCATAAGTGTGATTTTACATGTTTTGAAAAGGATCTACCGAAAGTATAGTTTTCTTCTCTTAACTACTCTCAATCGTCTTTCTTTTAAAAAGAACATAGTTTATTCAGCTGTACACATGCATACTTGTTAAGTAATTAAAAATTTCGTTGAGTAACCTTTGAAAACATAGATATTCAGAAAATGTGTTGTTTTAAATGTAAAGTGTATATTGTCTATATCAGGTTTATAGATTCAAATAACCCTCATTTGCGTAGGTAACTATGTAAGCATCAATAAGTACGGGTCTTTGTGTCAACACAGCATATATACTGAAATTATGTTCGGTTGTAAAACATAGAATTCATGATTACTTTTCACTTTCAAATAACATTAATATGGACTCTTTACACAATGCATTACTGTTACAAAACTCGCTTTATCAACAAGGTTTGGGTGGTTTAGTAATAAGTATAATGCTGGTTAAAGATGTGATTACTAGTATACCATACAACTGTATACTTGCCTATTGAGTTTTATAATATAAATGATCAGATTACATATATTTATGTATGCATATACGTATGTTAGTAGGTCCAGGTGCAGAAGTTTCGCCAATTGTTTGCCTCTTTTTCAAATATACTGTCTTTTGGATAAAATCAACAGATGGAACGACACAACAACTCACAACTGACCACAGAAGTGGGCTAACCTAAGGTATTACACTTATTGTCATTGGGGACAGCGTAAATACGATTTTAAACTTAATGCTGGATTTGCATTCGTGGAAACTTAGAAATACCGCGTGTGCAAATTTGCAGTTGATTACCTAATCCAGAAATACTTCGCTTATAACGACAAATGTAAGAAGTAAAAAACGAAGAGTTACCGAGTACTGGTCCAGGTTGCCGCACTGCTTATCAGCACATCAGGTCAGGGCTCAACAAGACGAAATAAAATGAAATGTAAATATAACTATTTTCAGTCCCGAAAGCAATTAGAAAATACTAAAGTATATAGCGAAAATAGCGAAATATGATACTTGTTTTTCAAATGGAGATAAAGTATAAATTTATCTCCTCCATCGTGATTGATGCCACATTATGCACAAATTATAAATAGTCTGAGGTCACGCATCTCCATTTAATAGTGGTGATGGAAAGTGGCCAGCAAAGTGATAACGAATACCCGTTCTGTCCAGTTTACTACTCGCCAGATGGATACACAGAGATCCCAGTGAGTGATGCTGTTTCCACTAAGACTCAATCCAAGCACTAATCACCTCAAAATCAATACTCTCTGAAGTAGGATTGTGTGCATCCTAGATTCCTCTGATAGCCAATACCCATTTACACCATCACAATGAAATCACCTATATTATCGAAATATCTCTTCAGGAGCTCATATCCCAATAGTAATCAATCTACTCAGTTCAAAGACATTGAAATACAAGCCATAACATCAATTATCCCCGTTGTTTCGCAGCCTCTAACAAGGAAGCCTACATCTGCATACTCAGTCGAGAATATCAGTCAATTACCCAACAAATTCATACCTTATCATAGTCTATCCTTATGACTTAATGAAGTAACCAGTTATTTCAGATTAAAAAACTAAAAACGTGTTTTAAGAACTACATGTATATAAAAGCTGCAACGATAACAACAAAACGCTTTGTCAATCTCCTGTTGCGAGATACGTAAATGCATGAGCGAATTCTGACTACAATAAGAACTTGCAGTATAATCAGTCGCCTGCTGGAATCTTTGGTTACTGAAATATTACCCTAAAATGCATCAAGTTGCTCCTTTTCAACTTGTTTTAATCATTAAAATATGTCTTCACATAGTACTGTACTGTTTCACATTCTGAATATGTTTTCAACTTGCCAGTTTGCGAGTTAACAACAAAATAAAGCAAATATGCCATACTAGTTGGCAGTGGGCTTTTAGACATACAAAAATACATAATATTGCTATTCTTCGAGTGGCTCATATTGCGAATTCCCTCAATGGCTGAATGAGCCCCCATTTCCAAACTTACACATATTATTCTATTCACTTCCGTCTTTAGATCAAACGACAATCCAACAACAACTGGTTGTTTCGTACTGTTGCTTGTTATACTATTATTACTAACGTTACTAACGTGCTGTAATCCTTTCATTTGAAAATATTGTAAATTCAGAAAAGTTTTTGAAATATTGCATACTGAGATCACCATGCTGCATCAAACATTTTGTCTAGAATGAAGTGATCACTATTGTTATTATGGATTTTTCACTTTCATTACTTGTGACCTTTCAAAGGAATATATGTGAGATGATGCAAACATCTTTATAACACCCAACAGTTACTGTAACCTAATAAAACTTGCAAATACTGCGAATAACACGTGAATTATGACTAATAGTTGCAGTGTAAAGGAGTTTTGTGGAAAGTAATTCAAACCTGCATGAGCAAACATTTTATTTCGAACAATAGCCTGGTATGTGTTCAATGCTTCTTGATACATTCCACTGGCTGTATAACGATTAGCTAAATTGAAGAGGACTGAATATGTTAAATCTAAATTGACTTGATCCGCAACACCAAGTTGCTCTCTTTGTCTAACAAGCACACGCTCTTTTCGACCAGCTTCTTTAGCTTTCTCTAAAGCAACAGTTATCTCTCCTTGACATGCAGCTATACAGCTTTCTTCGATTAAGTTATTCACCTGAAAAAAATATTTTAAAATATATCTCTGAAAAAAAGGTTGGCACAAATAAACGGTAGTTAAACACCTACAAAAATAGTTTTCAAATGATAACTGTCATAAGATTTTATCAGGGTAGACAAACTAGCTGGGCACTTTCTATCAAAAAATGTTAATCTCAACTAGCGTCCGTAAAGCTCATTAGTGGTTTTCACGTCCAAAGATACCAATCATTTGATTTTCCATTTGCCTTTGACACAAAGTTTGAGTCAACCAATCTGAATTTCTAAATTCATCCCAGGATGAAGATCGACAGTTCATAATGCGAAACTTAAATCTTTGCATAAATGGGTTGTCTTCAGTGGAATACCGTCCCACATAAACTGTATTATTACATTTAAACATCCGAAAATTTGCAAGTTAGTCTTTGTGATAGTAGAGAAGAAGTGTATATACTGATGAAGTCTCCTAGTCCCATGATGAAGCTTTCCAGAACAAACCTCAAAGCCTCGAGAACACCAAGTTACAGTCTGTTGTCAAGCAAATCTTATTAGATTCTACAGTTGGACACGTAAGGTGGAAATCCACAAACCAATACCTTCTGTTTGATGGTAACTATGAGACATGCTTGTGTGCAACCTAAAGTGACTTGAAGTCCCTTGCTGGCTTAAACCTGCATCACAAAGTGCAAGATTTTCTGAAAATCTAACGAAGGACTAGGTTTTCGTGCTGTTTATACATATTTTGCCCAAACAGGTAGATCAAAGTAGAATTTTACACAAATTTTCGTTAGTCCAAGTTCACAAGCTTCATTACACCACATAAAGAGGAACTGACTCAACAAAATTGATACTTAGAATAACAGAAACTTTATTAGAGCGGAGAAGAAAAGTAAATGGAGGTCAATAAAAACCTTTGAGATTCTGAATATAATTAAGTGTGTACATTTAGTTTATTGAGTTTGAGTTCTCACCATCTCAGAAATTCAAACCAGGTGGTCTTCACATCCTCACATGTTTCGGATCGAAAGTCAGAGATTTCATGGGTTCGCGAGGCATAATCCTACTTTACTTAGCATTGATCTTAGAAGACATTTCCGGATAGGTATGTGAAACACAAATCTAGTCAATCTTAACAGATGCAAGTTTGCAGCCTCACTTACTGACCTGTTTTCCTAGCTTAACAATGTACGGTTGGTTCTAATACAAATAACTATGGGTTGTTATCGCAATACTGTGGGGACTCACATTGCTAAAATTTTGTTACTTCACTTCTTCCTTACCTGTTAATAATGAGGGTTTTCCTTAGATGTCTTGGCTGTAGGAATTTACTTACAGAATCTGAATGAGGTCCGTTACAGTATTCGTCTTCACTAAAGAAGTAATCTCACCAAAAACTTTGTATAAGATTACTAAGCCAGTCAGATTTGAAATGTACTGAGACATACGTGGCATCAGTTTTAATATACGCACAAACTGTAACACACATGTGATTTCATTGATGTTTGACATTGCACAAGTATTTCTGAGATAGTGGAATATATCTGGTGCATTCCACTAAGTGATTCGCATTAGTTTCAAAAGTTTTCCAGTACTTTATCATCCTTCATCCAAAAGCATTAGAGCACAAAAATGACTTCTTGTCGAGTAATAAAAGTTCGCATGCCTATGATACACTTAGAAAGAATTCAAAATATATTACATTACAATACCAACTGAAGTGTACTCCCTTAGACTTACCAAATGCAAATGCAGTATTGCATGAAAGAAGTAACCTCTAGGAGATGTGATAAACTACGGTTTCAAATATAGGAAGAAGAGTGCCCGGCTACAGACTAATAAAATTTTGTCACCAAGTCCACCAGGACGATAACGTAAATACTCACTAGATATGTACATATGTAACTATCTCCTGATGAGTAAGAAACTTAGAGGGGACTAAGGGTATTCACTTTACTATAAGCACATATATGCATTTTGATATAGACTATTGCATTTACGCTACTTTATCAATATCAAATGGATGAAGATTCAATAAATAAATATGGTCTTGTTCAAATAACGCTTGGCAAAGGAAGTGAAGTCATTATTTTTCAAGACACAAATATTTCTATATATTTATCGCAGTAAGGGTTAGGGTCCTTTTTGCATATACGTATCTGTAGGCGTAGCTACTATTTAAAATCAGCTAAAAAATTACCTACTTGTTGACAAAAGCGAACTGCTATTTAAAGAAATCAAAACTTTCATCTGTTTCCGTGAAAATAAGCCAGAAGTTATAGACGAAATCGTGAAATTAGGGAAAAACTGAATATATGGAGAAGTATTACACCTACTCTGGCAGTGCTCAAAACTTGAAACGACAGAAATGATCCATTCTTTCGTTTTTCATTTACTGTGTTTAAGTTTATGAAAAGAACTTAGCATGTGCAAAATATACACTTTATTATTAGAAATGAATAAGTCTTCATACCGTGAGGTTCAAAAATTCTAATTAACACTGTTTTAAAAAAGCTGATTGGATGAAAAAGTCTCTTGCTTTCTATAAACTGTCGAAGCAAATCAAATAAAGAGAGTGAATCAATACTTACTCGTTTCTCCATATTTTTGATACGTTCTTCAGGACTATCTTCTGGTTTGGTCTCCAATGGAGGAACACCACCAACATCGATATTTGTCGGTACTGCCTGTCCACTCGTCCAACCTTGGTTCACTGATTGAGACGTACTTAACCTACGACCCATCGAAGAATAGCCTGCTGCTCTGACAGAAGTCATTGGTCTGCCACCATCTCCGCTCCCAAATCCCGAAGCTGTTGCTAATCTTAAATTAGCTGCAGTAGGTACTCTGGCTATGGGTACATAATTAGGTCCTCGGATATTGGAAGTGTTTAAACTTCTTCCTAGCAGCTGTCACAAGAAGCAGTAAATATTCAAAACTTGTTTCTATAGAGATGCCTTGAAAGCAGAATACTTGAAGTAAATAACAATCATTAAACAGATTTTTCTTATGATCACTGCTTTTATCATGGGATATGTGGAACAGAACAATTTGAATGGAACAATTCGTAAAAAACCTATCGGTTTAGCATAAGTCCATTTCAAATTCTGTTGAATAAAGGAATTTTTCCAGAAATTGTTCAGGCTGTCATCACAAAATATTTAAATGATGGTCACAAAGGGCTCAGCGTGAAGTTCACTAATCATATCGACTACCAAGGGTTAACATATGCTAACAGTTCTTCTCGATGACTAGAACTTAAGGTCACAGTAACTGAGACAGAATATAATGTAAAATGAATTAAATGAATACCTTTTTATTGCGTCTAACGTTTCTCTGACTAAAGAGCATTTATTTGTTTTGTGAAATTTCTGAGTGAATATATAAAACAAAAAATAATCAAGTCAAACTTAATATGATACAGGCTCAACACAGAGTTTATTAAGTACTGTGTGTCGGTTGAAGTTGTTGCATCCTTTATCCAAACAACAAAAGAATATCAATGAAGTTGTCAAATTAGGTTGTCACTCAAAGTGTTCAGAAGACTGTTCATCTTGTCAGAATCTTGAACTAAAAGGACTACGCCATCTGCATACTCTACGTCTACCAAGTAGTCTCCTATGACAAGTCCAGTCTGTGTAAACTATTCATAAGAACATGTGTGAGAGATTTTCAATCCAACCACGCTGATAGAGTAAAGAAATAATAAACTGTGAACAGTCTTTCTCTTCAAATCAAGTAATTACTAACAGGGAACTACACTTCTTATTAGACCAAGGGTCTTCAGTTTCCATTAACATGAACTGATGGACAAAAAGTAACACAGAAATCAAGTCATTTCTCATCACTTGATAAAAAGCTGCACGCAAATAAAAGAGCTCATCAGTAAAGAAAGCTTATAGATGTGACTAATTTTTAAGCTCTGTGACATAAGTTTGCAGAATTAGTCTTTCAAATTGACATATAGGACGAAAATGGAAATATATCAATTAACGCAGACTTAAAAACTGTAGACATCAGGCACAATCATGCTCCTTGCATGATTTCCTTGATCGGCACATTAGTTAAATGCACAAGTTCATTGTCATCCTTAAGTTCATTTCCAACTGCCTCTGGGGCCATACTGATCAGCATTTTCGTGTAAAAGTTATTTATGTTAAAACTAACCATTTTTTCACTGTTATCGTCTATACTTTAAGTCATAAGATTTAGTAAGTTGAGATTTTAAGTGATTTCTAATTGGATCTAGTGTAGTTGCTAAGTACTTAGAAAACTGGTAATTTGAAGTGTATCTAAACTCTACTATGGGCCTGATGAGATAACCTGGTTTATGAATCTTAATAGTACCATAGGATCTACTACGACTATCAGCTTTCGGCATTAAATTAAACTTTTCGACTCACCTAGATACAGCTTTATTTGGCGAATCAAATACCCTATAAATTTCTTAACCCTGTTCATATTAGTATCCACTGTTTTTCAATTTCCCCATATGATCTTATTTTTATGTGCTGACTCACTTTGTAGATGTAGTCAGATTTGTTCATTACAGCTGCTGAGTCACCTTTATCCGATTTGGAAACTACTATATTGTTATCGTTCTGAAAGTTCCTAAGATCTTCTCTTTGTGGTTCGGGTAAAATAGGTTTCATCTGTCGTTTCAGTGTCGGAGCACATTGGGCTCTTACCTCATCTGCAATTTCCTTATCTATTAAACCCAAAGCTATTTCTATTTTGTTAATGACTGAAAAATGGTTAGTTTGATAAAACTAGCCTTAACACGAATATAATGATCGATATAAGTATCCAATTAAGGTGTCGATCGAGGAAATCATGCTAGGAACACGGTTGTGCCTAACGTCTGCAGCTTTTAAGTTTCAAAATAAAATGTGCAAGCAAACTGAAGGGGTTATCATGGGATCATGAATATACCCTATCGTTGCAGACATAATTATGGATTGCTGGGAACGGATAGCTCTTCCAACAATTCTTCCGACTCCAAAGATATGTTTGCGACGTAGTACTGAAATATAAATATATCAATAGCTTCTTGGAACATAAAAATCCAGCAGTGAATGGAATCCAACTTAGCAATGACTTAGAAGGTGATGAAGGTGAGCCACCAATGATGGATTCCAAGATAAAAGGAAAACAGGTTGTAAGTTTAGAGATTAGTGTTGATAGGAAACCTTCCCATTCGAATCGCTACTTAGACTTCAAATCATCTGATCCTATCTCACTTAAAGTAGGTTTAGTTAAATGCCTAAGTAATAGGGCAAAAAAGCTTACTAATAGGACTGGAAATCTACGACAAAAGATGAAACACATCAAGAATACCTTGCATCTCACTAATTATCTATCTAAATTTATGAGTTAATTCATTAGAAATCTAGAGAAAAATATACTCAGTAGTAGGAGTAGGAATACAGGTGTTTTATTTCTATTAATTCTACTGATCTTAGTAATGATAGCAGTGTTAATGGGGACTGGGTTGAGACAGAATTCAAAGAGTCTGCTGTGTTACCATACGATTAAGGCACCTCAGAAGCGTTACGAGGACTTCTCAATAAGGCTGGAATTAAAGTGACATTTAAACCAACAAACTCCTAAAGACAAACTTTTCAGATCAAACGATCCTATTGATGTAATTAGGCAAATAATTTGGTTTACCAAATCCCTTACAATGATTTCGAGGCTAAATACATAGGTCAAAGTAGTATACCAAGGTCAATTGCAGTAACAGGGCACAAAAACTGAGCTAAGTCAAGATTATTAGATCCTGATACGGTAAGAAATTTAGAGAAAAGCTGGGCTATAGCTCTGCACGCAACTACACATAATCACACAATAGGATGGGATAGAGTGACAGTATTAAAAATTAACTTATTTGGGTGGAGGAAGAAACTGGTAGCCAAATCTTTGTTTATCGAATGCACACCAAATACATGCAATAGAGATGACTCGGCACCTGACCGAGATATATTAAAATTAAATCACCTTTGTCACAAAAAGGAGAGAAAATTAGAACTATGTAAACCATCTCTCAAAGTTATGGGGTTACTTGATGTGACTATAGACAACAAATTGTGTCCGAAACGTTATCCAGTAAATGATACTGTTTCACTGTGTGACATTTCTAATAAACAGACTAAAATGGAATTGAAATCTACTACAGTGCCCAATTTTCGTCCTATATTATTGAGTTTTCCTCTGAACTATGTTTTTAGTTGGGAAATGTTTCAGCGTCATGTTAGACATCAGCAGTGCAGGAAAGCTTCATAAGTAAGTAAAGCAACTGACTGTTCATGAATATTTGCAACTTTTACTTTGTTTGAGTCTAACAGCAACAATCCGATTTTTCAAAGTCAAGGCTGTTTAGCAACCATATTTAGATGAGCGAACTCATTGCAGTATAAGGGGATAAAAATGATGCCTTGAAAATGCTTTTTCAAAATCTCATACAACAGCTTTTCAGAGCACTTCATCAACAGATGTCTTTATAATCGAACATGATCAAAAGCTAATGAAAACATTAGCAGCAGGATCACCCTCCTAGACATTATGAATATCTCGTAAAAGATAGTTAGATTAATGCATCTACTCTTAATTCCTGTATCGCATAGACCAACAAAATCGACAGGACATATTCTGTGTAAAGTCCTAGACCCAGTCAACTCAGAAGTTATCCCCAACGTGATCTATAAAGTCCATTTCAATAGCTGCATACGCTACTACTGATGACATAAGTTAACCGTCAAACCACGTGATATGAAACCTCTCGTCTCGAAACATTGGGACAACTTTAAAGAAGCGTTTGACTTGGTCGATTTCTAAGTAATTAAACGCGAAAACTATAAAGTGACCCACAAATTTTCAGTGGTCTTTCATTTAGGCAGTTTAATTGTAAGTCACTACGTTGACAAAGACACAAATTACGAGCCTATTTGAAACAGCAGGGATAAGTCAGTATGAATTCAAGGAAACCAACCAACGAACAGATAATCAGTCATTTTGATCAAGGTAACTCAAGTACAGCTGGTCAGACATCTTCAGTTGGTCTGTCAGTACATAAGAACCACCCTCTCTAGTAAAACCTAAACAACCAGCAATGGTTTAGGAACTCCCAATCAGTTCGAATAAATCAACAAACAAGCGTAAGTAATCCAACCTGCAAAGCATAAGGGTCAACCAGTATATATATTTGTATATTTTCCAGAACGTGAGAAATTATTACGTGTCAATGCTTCTTTAAAGGCTGGAATAGATAGGCAAACAAATCAATATAACACCTAACACGCAAGTAAATCAATTTGAGTTACCACACCTTACTCAATAATATAAAGATGAAGTAGGTAGAGAAAGATTGATACTGAAGTTGACATAAATGTATAGGAGGAAGGGTAAATAACTGCACCACTATTTAATACTACATATTTACAATAAAGGCCCTTTAAATTATGGATAATTTGTTTGTTACATACGTGTATATGATGAATTCTCACTTTGCTTAGAAAGAGGGGAAATAACAGACTTTTCAAATCTTATTTCTAGGTTAACTGTCCAGTTGTTCAAGTTTACTTTGCCTGGATCTTTGCAAAATATATAGTTAGGATTCGCAGTTAATTTCTCCATTGAAGTAAAGGAGTTTTTCGCTTATGCAGGGCTGGAGTGGATTTTATTGAATATAAAAATATGTCATTCAACGAATATTTGAATGACGAAAGATGCAACGAAGGTTAATAGTAAGTAATGTCAAATTGCTCATTCTAAGGACAATCAGAAATGTCATCTGAAAACTGGCAACGTAATGTCTAAGTAGAGTAAGGTAACTATTAACCAATAATTGAGCAAAGGGAAGTTAAACAATGATAAGAAATAGTGGATAACAACCCTTGACTGAATATCCAAC